TGGTGTTTCTGGTTCTGGAGGTGCTCGTACTGGAGGTACTGGAGCTGCCAGGACTGGTGGTGCTATTGGAGCTGGAGGCCGTGGAGCTACTAGCGCTAGAGGTGCTGGTGGTGCTGGTGGTTCTGGAGGAGCTGGAGCTATTAGTCGTGGAGGTGCTCGTCCTGGAGGTGCTTGTCTTGGAGGTACTGGAGCTGCCGGAGCTGGTGGAGCTGTCGGAGTTGGTGGTGCTGCCAGTGCTGGTGGTGCTGGCGCTGCTGGTCCTGGGGGTGCTCGTATTGGCGGTACTGGAGGTGCTCTCTCACCTCAGCAGCTGCGCGAGTGGTACGCTCAGCGCTACCGCCTTCGGAGTGGCGCTGCTGGAGCTGGAGGCCCTGGAGCTGGAGGCCCTAGAGCTGTCGACACTGGAGTTGGTGACCCCGGAGCTGGAGGTGCCGGTTCTGGGGGTGCTGCTGCCGGAGGTACTGGGGCTGGAGGCCCTGGAGGAAGTGCTGTCGACCCTAGAGTTGGAGGCCCCGGAGCTGGAGGTGCCGGTTCTGGGGGTGCTACTGCTGGAGGTACTGGGGTTGGAGGCCCTGGAGCTGGTGCTGTCGCCCCTGGAGTTGGAGGCCCCGGCGCTGGGAGCGCTGGTGTTTCTGGTTCTGGAGGTGCTCGTACCGGAGGTACTGGAGCTGCCGGGACTGGTGGTGCTGCTGGTGCTGGTGGTGCTAGTTCTGGGGGTACTGCTACTGGTGGTGTTAGTGATCGAGGCACTGGAGCTGTAGACAGTCGTGCTGGAGGTGCTGGCTCTGGAGGTACTGGCGCAGGGGATTCCGAGTCTACTGGTGCTAAGCCTAGGGGTACTGAGTCTGCTGGAGGTCCTCCTAGTGCCGCGTCGCAGTGGTCACCTCTCTCGCCGCAGCAGCTGCGCGAGTGGCTTGCTTCGCGCACCCGCCTTCGGAGTCGCGCTACTCGAGCTGGAGACGCTGCTGCTGGAAGTGCTGGAGTTGGAGGCGCTGGAGCCGGTGTTGTCGACCCTGTAGTTGGAGACCCTGGAGCTGGAGGTGCAAATTCTGGGGGTGCTCCTGATGGAGGTACTGGGGCTAGAGACCCTGGGGCTGGAGGTGCCGGTTCTGGGGGTGCTGCTGCTAGAGGTACTGGGGTTGGAGACCCTCAAGCTGGAGGTGCCGGTTCTGGGGGTGCTGCTGCTGGTGGTGCTGGAGCTGGTGGTGCTGGCGTTGGAGGCCCTTGCGCTGAAGGTTCCGGAGCTGCTGTAGGCGCTGGAGCTACTAGTGCTGGTGGCACTGCTCAGCCGCAGTTGTTCTTTGCTCCGCCGTCACCGTCGTCTCTACCACCGCCCGACTCCGTGCTTCGCCAGGTTCTTAGCCTCCCGTCTTCTACTGGCCTCCCGTTACAGCCAGGCTCCCTACTGTCTGCTCCTCCTCCTTACACTGAGTAGACAGACTTGCTTACAGAGCGTTGTGAGCCTGCGTCTCGTCCTGCCTCGCCTGCTCGCACTAGTCGCACTAGTCGTCGTGTTCCTCGTGAGCGTCCGCCTCCTGTCCCTGGCACGCACACTATGGCACTTCGTCCTTCCTCTGTTCCACAGCGTGTTCCCCTGCCGTCTCCTCCTGAGTCCTCTCTTCCGCACGTTCCGGACCCTGAGTCTGACCTGGTTCGTGCTGCTCACCCTACTGTCACGCGTCTGTTAGCCACTATTGTCACTGACCCTTCGTTTGAGTCCGCTGCTGCGTCTGCTTTGGTCGCTGAGCTTGTTGACTTTGCTGCTGCTTGTCGTCTCGACTACGCCGCTAGTCTTGTTGCTGAGTCTGAGTATGTCTGTCCTCCGTCCGTCTGGGGTGAGTGTGCTCTTGGCACAGACGTCCTTGAGGACAGACAGGAGGATTTAGATTGTCTTGCCGTTGCTGCACCTCATCTCGTGGCCATGCTGCTTGCTCCTGAGGGAGACCCGGATGCACTGGACATGCCGACCGCGCGCTCTTACGCAGAGGCGAATACGGGTCCCTACTCCTCTCAGTGGCAGACAGCCATGGACGCAGAGATGGCATCCTGGAAGTCCACTGGCACTTACGTTGATGAGGATCCCCCTCCTAAGGCGAACATCGTTGATGGCATGTGAATTTTCAGGGTGAAGCGGCCGCCGGGTTCTCCGCCTGTCTTCAAGGCTCGTTACGTTGCACGAGGCTTCAGTCAGCGACAGGGAGTTGACTTCTTCCAGACCTTCTCCCCTACCCCGAAGATGACCACTCTTCGGGTGCTGCTGCACGTTGCTGCTCAGCGTGACTACGAGCTTCACCTTTTGGACTTCAGCATAGCTTTCTTACAGGGCAGTCTACACGAGGAGATCTGGTTGCGCCGCCCACCTGGCTTCACTAGGTCGTTCCCTCCTGGTACCCAGTGGAGCCTAAGCCGGCCAGTCTGCGGTCTCCGTCAGGCGCCTCGTGAGTGGCACGACACACTGAGGACGACACTTGCGGCTCTTGGATTTGCCCCTTCCACTGCTGACCCGTCGCTGTTTCTACGCACTGACACTTTGCTGTCGCCGATCTACATCCTCGTGTACGTCGACAACTTGGTCTTTGCCACTGCTGACACTGAGGCTCTCGCCCTTGTGAAGTCGGAGCTGTAGAAGAGACACACGTGCACAGACCTGGGTGAGCTGCGCAGCTACCTTGGCTTGCAGATCATCCGGGACAGAGCACGTCGCACCATCACACTGACTCAGTCACACATGGTGCAGGAGGTCCTTTAGCGCTTCGGCTTCACCTGGTCCTTGCCAAAGTTCACTTAGTACTTATGGCTTCCGGTCACTCGCTCTCAGCTCTGCCTTCAGATGAGTCCGTAGAGCCGAGTGGCCCGTATCCAGAGCTTGTGGGCTGCCTCATGTACCTGATGACCTGCACTCGACCTGACCTTGCGTACCCCCTTAGCATCCTGGCTCGCTACGTTGCGCCTAGGAGACACCGGCGAGAGCAGTTGGAGCCTACTAAGAGGGTGTTGCGCTACTTGTGCAGTACATCAGGCATGGGGTTTGTGGTTGGAGGACGGGGTGAGGTTGTCCTCACTGGACACTCGGACGCGTCTTGGGTTGACGACCTGGCTACGTAGCGGTCGTCACAGGGTTACATTTTCGGCCTTGGCTGTGGCTCTGTTTCTTGGCGGTCTACCCGCTCGTCTTCTGTTCTCAGCTCCAGTTGTGAGGCTGAGGTCTACGCCACAGCCATGGCTGCCCTAAAGGTAAGGCATGCGTTAGAGATGCATCAACCCTAAATACCTAGAGCAAGGTGTTTAGGGTTGATGCCTCCCTAACGCATGCCAGGCCCAAATGGGTTTTATTTTTGCCCGCGGGCAGCGCAGTACAGAACTTAACTAATTTTTCGTTGAAGTTTGTGATAACAATAAAACAGATCGCGGTTCACGCGATCGAAGGCATGCCACGTGGCGATAATAAAATGATTCCGCTGGAAAAACTCTTAAGGGTTGCGCTTGGTGCGGGGGCGACTATGGAGTGGTTTGCGGCGATGAAATATGCCGAACCGGCTGACGCGTGGCCCTTGGGATGTCCTCGCTAAAGTGCGAGGACGATGAGGAATTGTAATTCCTTACAAAAAGGTTGAGGTTGTGAAAAACGCAATGCACAGATTTTATCTCATGAATGGCCACATCACTCGTAGCTTCTACACATACGGTACCGTAAGCAGGCCCCTAGATTCGTTTTGAGGTAGTCTGACGCCTCAGAGTACACCCCTCTTCCTAGTCTGGCTGTCAGAGTTACCTATTTTTTTTAGTCTGAAAATTCAGACAAGCACAACTTTTTTTGTCTGAACTGTCAGAGTTACTTCAAATTTTAAGATGTTCATGCAGTTTCGTAAAAGCATAGTAATAATAGCAGTGAAGCTGATTACAGCCTACCAAACGCATCAGGCAACGTGCTCGCGCATCGCCACTGCTCATGTCGGCGGCGTTCCGGTGTTTTTGTCACGTGCAGCTCATGGTTGTTTCTGCTGATCTCATTTCGTTTTGTCGTGTGTGTAATTACCGTTCTGTACCCATTTTCGCGCCTGTGTGCCAATTTTGTCAATTTTGGACTTGCGTTTCTAGCGATGCGATCGTTCACCCGATCTGTATCAGGTGGGCCAAGTGCCACGCAGCTGAGCTGGCAGCAGGCAGATATTATTGCTTGGCGTGGCGTGTTAGGGCGTGTTACATTTTTTAGCCGTCCGGACGACTATATGGTTATGAAACTCAGTTAACATCGGCAGTGAGTTCGTCAGGGTCTAAACGACGTCGCTTGCTTCGTATTGCTTACATACGACGTCGCATTGGTCGCAACGCGACTGCACGACGTCGCAATCGTTGCGCGCGTCCGGACGACCGTGCGGACTTTCTGTGATTTCAAAAAATGTAGCACGCCCTAACCATCAGGTCGTGCAACACGAAACTTTCACTACGAATCACGACCTTCGCAATTTCACAGCAGTGCGTGCTGCAGATGTTTTTACAGAGAATCAGCATTAAAGTCTCCTTTTATTTACAATACATTAGCGATAACTTACACGTGAGAAGATTTTGTCTTAAAAATCCTGTAATCACGCAACCATTTCCTCAGCGTAACTGAAAGATAGTCTCGACGAACGAGTGTATTCGGATGTCCCAGCTGTTGAAGTGTGCGTTGCTCACGTCCTGGCACTCCACTGCCATCTCGGAAGTGGGCATATTGAAAGGAAACTTCCACGAAACTTTGCTCCGATAAGCGCGCAGATTGTACCCCCGATACAAGTCTGAGGCTCAGCCTGCACTTATAAAATTAGGCTGAAATTTCAGACAACTCATAAAAAAGAACTCTGAAAAATCAAACAAGGTACATAAAAAAATTCTTAGACTTCAGACTAGGTACAAAAAAAAAGTCTGAACGGACTCTGAATCAGACTTTAAAGTCTGATATCTAGGGCACTGACGTAATATATTCCTTCTGAATGGTGTCTCCACATCCCATCAACGCTTCACGAGTCAAGCATCTTGGTCCAATCAAAAGGCTTCCAACTCTCTATAAACTTTGCAACGCTCTGCTGCACCTCCTGCGGGCGCGACCCCACCCCTCCCCGCCCCCCTCTGGCGCGCGCGCGGCCACCGAACCTCTCAGGGTCCATCTCCATCATGCCGGCGATCACATCACGGCCGAAGGAGGCCTTGAAGGAGCTCTCGTCGTCAATCACATGGCAGTACCCGCCCTGCCAGGGAGGGAGAGGCGTGGGATGAGCAGCGAGGTGCAGCAGGTGGGTTGAAGGGGGCCTTGCCGTGGCTGCTGGCCTTGCCTGCTGGTGCTCCTAATTCGACCACCCGCCTATTTGCCATGTGCCATGTGCCATGTGCTGTGTGCCACGTGCTGTGTGCCATGTGCTATCTGCTGCAAAACAAGGGGATTGTGCGCAGCTCTGTGCCATGCGCAATGCACCATCTGCCATCTGCACGTGTCATGTGCTAGCCGCATGTCCCATGCCCCACGTGCCAGTGCCATGCACAAACAATGGATACAGCAACATTAATGCAGCAACACATGGGCACACAGCATGGTGATAAGGGGAGCGGACCTGCAGGCCGAACTCGACGTGGAAGTAGGGGAAGTTGGGCGGGATGGCGCCGCGCAGCCCGCCTCTGATGGCACGCGTGTCGATGATGCGCTTGCTGTGCTGCTCGCTCCACTCGCTCTCCGCCTCGTCCAACGCCTGCCACACCCAGTATGCACAAAGGGGAGACGTGGGGAAATGAAAACAGAAGGGGGGAGGACGGGGGCAGGGAGGGGAGGAGGAGACGGGAGGGAACGAAAGAGGCATTAGCCAGTGGGAGGGCAGCTTGAGTTGTGGTGACACGGTACGTTGAGGAGGGTTGCATGCGAGCCACGAGGCAGCACTTGTGTTCCCATTCCATTCCAACGCCTCACACAGTGTGGCCCGCCATTCCATGGCAAACAAGTGTGCTGCACTGCAGCAGGGACGTGAGCCCAGCAGCAGCAGGCATGTGTGTCCCACCCACCACCAAGGCCTCACCCTCCATTTCACTCTCGCAGCATGACTGTGTGCCACCTCACCTCCACCTCACCTCTACCTCATTCCACCTCACGCCATGAAACCCCATTTCCTGAACTCACTTTCCAGTCTGCAGACTTTCAATCTCAAACCATCTGCCAGTTTCAGGCGCATCAGTGTTGGTGTTGTGGAGAGGGAGCACATGTCACTGTCACTGCCACTGCCACTGTCACTGCCACTGCCACTGCCACTGGCACTGCCACTGCCACTGCCACTGTCACTGTCACTGCCACTGCCACTGCCACTGCCACTGCCACTGCCACTGCCACTGCCACTGCCACTGCCACTGCCACTGCCACTGCCACTGCCACTGCCACTGCCACTGCCACTGCCACTGCCACTGCCACTGCCACTGTGCATGCATGCCATGCACCGCGGCCCACCTTTTTGAAGTAGAGAGGAGCCTGGGCCATGACAGCAGCGGGCACGGGGATGGCCTCCACGTAGCAGTGCCTGCGCTGCCGCCCCGCGCCCCCCCCCACCCCCACGGCTGTCTCGAGGAAGATCAACCCCGCGCCCTCGTCCACCGCCATGGCCATGGCCATGCGCGTGAGGCACTTCTTGAAGTTGCGCACCTCATCCCACACCGCCTCCTCCACCACCCGCATGCTGCCCTCGTGCTGCCACCACCGGGGGGGAAAGGCAAGGGGCGGAGGGGGTGAGTGTGGGGCACGAGCATGCACGGGCATTGTAGCAGGGGTTTTGAGTGTGAGGGTCGCCTTGTGGGGCCACTGCACGGTGTGATTTACCTCAGAGGGCACGATGAGCACATGGTTGGGCAGCAGAGAGCCGCTGGGCGGCAGCATGAGGTAGCTGTGGGTGGCAACAGACACCACGAGGTGGCGAGGGCGGGCGGGGCTGTCGATGCACTGCTGGCAGCGCTGCTGCACCGCCGCCTGGCGCCTGAACTCGCCCACCTGCCCCGCCTTCTCCCTCTGCTGCTGTGACGCCCTGTTAGGAGGTGCAGGCAGTGCCGGTGCGCGGTGGCCACAAGGGAGAGCCAAGCTGAGTGGAAGGTGAGGGTAGCATGGGGCGAGAAGCATGGGGCGAGAAGCATGGGGCGAGAAGCATGGGGCGAGAAGCATGGGGCGAGAAGCATGGGGCAAGCACCACACACACGAAGCAGAGCCACCAACCAAACACTTCCATTCGCCCATGCAGGTCAGCCCACCTGGCCTTCTTCCGCCCCCCTGCACCCCCCCCAGCCTGCAGCCCGTCATCCCAGTCGTATTCATCATCCACCTCCACCGGCCCCTTGTACCGCCCGCCCGCCCGCCCAATGCCCGCCGCCACGCGCCGATCCCAGCTGCTCAGGTCGTCCGCGCCGCCCGCCCGCTCCGCCGCCACCAGCTGGCGCAGTGACACCCCGTCATCATCCGCGAAGTACCTGCGGGACGGGCAGGGAGGGTCCCGGTGAGAGGGGATATTCAAGCGAGGGGGGACGAAAGCAAGAGAAGGAAAGGCAGACGGGGTCGAGATTGGCTGCTGCTCTGCCTGCCATTCCCTGCCCTTTACCATCCGTTCCTCCCCTGGGCTCTCCCACCCCATTTCCATCCCCTCTGTGCACCACACCTGCCCCACGCTCTACCTTGCGCGCAGCAACCAAGCCTGTGCGAGGGCCAGCACAAGGAGGGTGGGGCTACAGCAGTAAGAGGGGCCAAGAAAGCCGGTCAGTGTGCATGTAAGTATGGCAATGACGAGGAGGAGCCAAATCAAGGCCAACAGGGGAAGGGACACCGTCTCAAGCATTTCCCACTACAAGAAGCCGCTAAACCCCCCCCCCCCCCCCCCCCCCCCCCCCTCCATTGCCATCATCCCCCATCACCTCACCCCATCCCCCTCAACCTTGCCCCCATTCCCCCTCACCTCGCCCGCTGCCCCGTGCCCCCCTCCACATCGTATCGCTCCACACGCTTCGCCTGCCGCCCCGCCTGCACCTCGTCCCGCCCCTCCCGTGCCGCCATGACAGCTGGCAGGTACCGCCCCCTGCCATCCACCAGCGGCAGCTGCACCACCTCCCTCCGCCCCTCCTCCTCCCCCGCCTCCCCCTCTCCGTCCCCCTGCCCTCCCCCAGGGCCCAGGGCTCCAGTGTGGATGTGGCGGGTGCAGCCAGCAGCGCGGGCGGTGGTGCTGGTGGAGGAGGGGGCTGGGACTTGGCTGCTGCTGCACGCTGTGAGATGCACGGACGATGGTGATGGTGATGGTGATGGTGATGGTGATGGTGATGGTGAAAAGGAAACATAGTCTAGTTGAGGAACTGGTCGATCAGGACCAAGCATCGTCAGTGCATCAGAGAAGCTTCAGACACACCACACGAAACATCAGACAAACTTTTTTGCCAAACACGTATAGATGCATCGATGCATCCATGAATCCAAACATCCATCCACCCTTGCACTGCACCCCACAGGTAGCGCTAGCTCCTGCACCTGTTACAGCGCACTCCCTCCGCCACATTCCACTACCACATTCCCTTACCATCCTCCACTCGCCCCACCCCACCTGCGCCCATCCCACCTGCGCCCATCCCACCTGCCAGCAGTCGGCTTCCTCAGCCTTGCCCATCAGCTTCAGCCGCATGGCCTTTGCTGCCATCTGATTGGCTGTCAGTCCGCCCGCCAGTATCTCCTGCACGCGCGCATCGCCCACATCCACAGCAGCCGCACCAACACGCTCACTGCCGCCCTCCATGCCCTCCCCTCCCCCTCCCCATGATCTCCCCACCTCCTCTCCCGCACCCGTCTTTCCACCGTCGTCACTCGCCCTTCCCTCACCGCCCTCCCTCCTCTCACCCCTCTCCCCATCACCTGCAGCTGCTCCCTCTGCCCTGCCTCCAGCCCCACCACTGCCTGCTGCATCCTCGCCCCTCTCCCCTGCTGCGCTTCTCTTCCCACTGTCTGCACCCCTCGCCTCCTCCCCAGCCCCCACCCGTTTCTCCAACTCTCCTCCGCCCGCGCCGTGCCCCGCCACGTCAGCACGAGCCAGCTGCAGCGCCAGGAAGCCGCCGTCATCAGCGAAGGCATTGACGCTGCGAGCCGCCTCCTCCAGCACGCCATCCGCCCACCCGCCCCGCCTGCCCACGCCCATGCCAGGCCTCCACGCCCCCACCCCCTTCCACGCCTGCTTCCCACCCTCGCCCCCTTCGCCCTTGCCTCCTTCCCCCTCCCTCGCTTTGTCCTCCGCTCTCCCCCTCGCCCCCTGTGGGCCCCCCTCTCCTTGCCGCCGCCACGACAGTGACTCCTGCTGCGGCACCCTCATGCCCGCCCTCGCCCCCGCTGACACGCCCTCCAGGTAACCCCTCCTGCCGCCCCTCATCCGCCTCTCCTCCTCGTCCTCCTCCTCACTGCCATCATCCCGCCCACCCTTCCTGCCACGCGCCTCTCCCTCTCTCTCGCACTCCCCCTCCTGCCTCCACCCTCCCCTGCCTCCACTTCCCTTGTCCCTTGTGCCTCCCTCCCTGTCTCTGCCTCCTTCCTTGCCTCTCCTATTCTTCCCCTCCCCAAATCTCCCCCCACCCCCCCCTCATCTCCAATCCTCCACCCTGCACCACCCCTGCTCCGTTTCCCCTCCCTTTCACCTTCTCCCCTCCCATCTTGCGCCCCTTCCACCTCGTCCCCTCTATCCACCCCAGCGCCCCTCTCCCTATCACGGCCAGCATGCTTGTGGGCGAAGGCAGGGGCAGCGCGGGCGGAGGAGAGGCGGGCAGTGAGGGAGGAGAGGGAGCCCCACCGGTCCGACACCACCTGGAGGGGAGGGAGGGGGGAGGGATTGGGGATACAAGAAGCGATGAAGCAAGAATGGCAAGCATGGGCCCAAGCAGGGTCTATCAAGTGACTCGTCACGCACCACACACACCGCACAAGTAAGAGGCACGTCTCTGTCACCCAGCCTGTATTCGTATCGTTGAATCCCCTCGCTAGCACAACCATCCCTCACTCAATACCCCTGTCCCGTTGTTATCTGCACACCCCCCACTCACTCCCTCCCTCCCTCTATTTTCCCTCCCACCCCTCCCTCCCTCGCTTCCCCTCACCTCGCTCAGCTGCTTCCCCTCACCTCGCTCAGCTGCTTCCCCTCGCGCTCCGCCTGCTCCTTGGCGCGCCGCAGAGCCTTCAGCCGCCAGCTGGCGCCGCCATCGCCCACACCAGGCGGCGGTGCTGGGCGGGCAGAACCCGGCCGTTGGGCGGCAGGATGGGCGGCAGGGTCGGCGGCTGGGTGGGCGGCAGCGGAGTCAGGGAAGCCATCCCCGGTCTTGAAGTAGGGGTTAAGTTCCCGTGCACTGCTTCCCAGCACCACCTGCTCATGCTCCGCATGAGGCAGAGGCATGGGGCATGGGGCATGGGGCATGGGGCATGGGGCATGGGGCACGGGGCACGGGGGCATTCAATGATGGGGGACATGCGTGCTGGAACGTGCAGACATCAGGAGGGGCATACCAGAGAGGAATGAGGGGTGGCAGAGCAACACTGAACGCAATGGGAGGCAAAGGGAGGAAACAGGGCTGTATGTGAGGAGTGTAGAGGCGACAGTGATACTAGGCTCTGAGGCACGGCACCCACCCACCCATGTGCAACAGCCCTCCCGTCCCCCTCACCTCTTTCCTGCCGTCCTCCTCCTCCTTTTCCTCCGCCCTCATTTCCCCAAACGGCCGATCTGGCGCGCGCAGCATCCACTCCAGCCCCGCTGCCTCGCGCGCCTGCTGCCCGCCCTGCGCCGCTCCCTCTGACCGCGCACCCAACCCTGCACCCGAGCCTCCTGAGCCTGCACCTGAGCCTGCGCCCCGGGGTGGCGATGGAATCACGGGAGGGTCGGAGAGGAATGGGGTGGATACGTTGAGAGAGAGCTGGGTGCATGCGCTGTTCCCAGGAGGAAAGGGGAGCAGCGAGGGGACAAGGCCATACGAAGCGCCGCGCCACTCACACGACTTTGCCCCACTCGCGGCTCACCTGCCACTCGCGGCTCACCTGCCACTCGCGGCTCACCTGCCGTCACACCAGCTCGTATCTCGTCGCCCTCCTCATGCGACCCCTCCGAGTCATCTGAGCCGTCCGATACGTCCTCAATCCATTTGCCGCGCCTCTTCCTCCTCTCCTCCCGCTTCCTCGCTCTCCTCGCAGCCTGCCCATCCTCGCTCTCTGATTCGCTCTCCCCCGCCTCGCTCTCACTCCCGCGCCGCCCTTTCTTCTTCCCTTTCTTCCCGCCCCTCTCCCGCTTCCTCTTCTTCCGCCGTCTCTCGCGCTCGCTGTCGCTCGAGTCGTCCGACCCCTTCCTGGGCTTCACCTTACTCCCTCGGCTATCCTTCCTCTTCTCGCCACCGCTCTCAACCCTAACGAACTTCACGGCGCTGAGCATGCTGGGTGAGAAGACGGGGTGCGATGCGCGGGACGCAAGAGGGCATCTGCGAGATGCAGGGCAACAGAGGTCATGCACTCGCCACGTCGCTGACGAGGATAGAACAAAGAAGATTACTCCACAATGAAGGCAGGTGAGGTGATGGAGGCGGAGTGGGGCGTGAAGAGAGGTGCAGAGAGGGGCAGGAGGATATGCACAGATATGAACAGAGTGGAGAGCGCATGTAGGAACACGCAGGAAGGGAAAGGAGGAGAGGGGAGTTTGCTGGACGGGTAGGTCAGATCAACTGGGGCGGTGTGAGAAGGGCAGGAAGGGCAACTAGCGATGAAACCAGCGGGAAGGGGAGATTGAGAGGCGGGAAGTGGAGAACGGTAGGAGGGAAGGGGAGAACGGGAGGCGGGCAGGGGGGTACGGGCGGCGGGAAGGGGAGATTGGGAGGCGGGAAGGGGAGGTGAGGGGAAGGGGAGACGGGGACGCGGGAAGGGGAGTAGGGTAGGCGGGACCAGGAGGCCGGTTCGGTTCCACGTCGCGATCTCACCTGCGGCTGCCTCGGCTCGTGCGGAAACCGTGACGGGGTAGCTAGGCCGTGCCAGCAGGCGACAACTGTGATCTTGCGAGAGCACGCTGCTCGGCAGTTTGAGGCGCGGCAAGCGTATTCACAGTGGCATGCGGGCGCAGCGTGGTGCGGCGAAGCGACGCCGCGATGGGCAACGAGGCGAGGCTGCGACCGGCGAGGCAGCTCGGCGCGGCGAGGCCACTAGTACTGGCGCGGCGAGACCGCGACCCGGGGCTTGCGGGGGCCTTCGGCGGCGAGGCGATGCCTCGAGGGAAGGAGTGGCCCGGCCTCAATGTTCGGCGATGACGCAGCAATGGGTCGAGGGTTTGGCGGGGTAGCGTGTGACCTAGATCTAAGCGCTGCGCTATGGTCGCTTCGCACTACTCGGGAGTAGCTACTTGGGCGAGTGGGCTACCCGGGAGAATGTATCGGAGTCCGTCGCTTAGGTCGTGCAGGTTGTACTTGGGTTACCACCTTGTACCATTTCTGGCACTCGCACTGCCAATTTGCTCGTTGGGAATGAAATACTTCGATAGTGAAATCCTCGCTCACTGAATCACATGTGATAAGAATCCTAATCCTAATCCTCATTCTGATCGATACACAAGATGCCCAACCCCTGCACGCGAATTTGCCCTGCCCGCGATGGAAACTCTGCACCCTTTTAAAACCCTTTTTGCTAATTGCGAATTGACGAAAGCTTAGCGAAATGCAAGAAACACCTAAGAGCCCTCTTTACAAGGCAACCTTGGGTTAGTCATACGGGCATCGTGTGTAACAAGGAATCGTCAGCTTCGTTTCTGCAAATCGCCACGTCATGGCTTGCTGCTGGACGTGATCCTCGCCAACAGGGAAAATGTCCCTCACACAGCATTGACCTATCGTGAATTATCCTACACCCTAATGCTCACTCAACCGCCCATTCTGAACACGCCCACTGCCACTCCATACGCCCAGTGGTCGATATTCACAGCCAACGGCCCGCGCGTTACTAGCCCACGACAAAACTAAGATATTCTTGACCTCGAATAAGTTATTCGAGTTTCCCAGACAAGACACGCCAGGCTACCCAGATACAGTCCCATTCTCCCCGTAGCGAGCGCATGCTCGAAAGAGGAGCACAGAGAAAGATGGGGAACGGGACTGAAATGGGCATCAGGTGTACCATAGTGATATTGAGAGAGACGACGTAGACTTGGTCAGCTCAGCCAGGAACTGTGAAAGACTCCCAGCCAACTGGCGCTCGGGAATTAATCTTAGCGGTAATACTCTTTGAGCTCGATTGCACGCGGGTCAAGTCACGTGTCCAAATTGTAACAAATGTATCCTGTTTTTGCCTTTATGGTAACCGACATGCCAAACTGGTCAACATTGTGGCCTGAATGGTAATGAACAGTGCATTCCGAACTCCAAACTGGTAACTGATCATTCCAACCGCGATGTACACCGTACGTACCCTGTATGACTCGGCAAAACTGAAACTGAGAAGGATATATGCTTTGCATTGTAACATTTATGTCTCAATTTCACGCCTATAACTTGAACATGTGTAAAGGAAAGTAAAACAATAAATGCTATTTACATGTTGGTGTCAAATTGTCTAACTAGGAATTACAAAATTAAAATGAATTGTGAATACATTGTCTACACAAGTGCAGTGCTAGTCTTTTGTAAATATAAACTACATATGTGGAAATTGAAACTGTACCGTATGTAGTATCGTATTTGACCAACGTCATGAAATTCGGCGTGGTAGGATACATGCCATTACGTGCAGTGTAGGGTACTAATGTTGTCCATGGTAAGAAAAACATCTTATAAATCGCAACCAAGTACTTGTGCACCATGCAAAGTACTTAAAATGCACCAGTTTTGGAACCCCCTTAAGTCACTACAACAACCCCAAATTGCTTAGATTACCCCTTGTTGTTGTTCACGATGAATATCTAAGCTTTAGCTCAACAGTGAGGCTGCTCATGTTCTTCAACCTGTTCTTCTAAGAATTCAGTTCCACCTTGTCCACTTGCAACACCTATCGCAGAATCACCACTGTCCGCAGATTGTGTCGTGTGGATTTGCGCTCCATTGCGGATTCATGCGTGACTGCATGGGCACAGTCCATGGGTATTGCCAGTACAACCCTCTCGAGGTGTGCCAACCCCTCTATACATGCTGTTAGAATCTAGCAGCACAAATGAATGAACTATGCAGCATGCAGGAGTACAAGTAGTAAACCCTAATTAGGTTGTACCCCATGTGGGTACCCCACTACAGCCTACACAATATAGTTTGACACACCCCCATAGGCAAAGTGGGGAAGAGCAAGGGGTCACAAGACCAGTCTAGAGAAGCAAAGCAAGCTCAGGGTGGATCACAATGTCACCACACTCTCTGAGCACAAGCAAAGGGCCACAAGGCCAGTTCACATGCAGAAGTATATATGCAACAAGAACAGCACAGTGATCTCTACCTAGCAAGAGCAAGCATGCAGGTATATATATATAGATCACAGTACAAGCAGAGTCTACAGCAAGTGTGGAAACGTAGGCACAAGGCCTAACAGGGTACAAAAGTGTTAATGATCCCCAGACGAAAGCGCCTTGGTGAATATATCAGCAGTGTTGGCCCGGGTGGCCACGTGAGTGAGGCGAAGCTGACCCCGCTGCCGCAACTCTCGAGCCAGGAAGTAACGCAGAGCGATGTGCTTCGTTCTGTGCTCCAGTCTGTGCTCCTCGCACAAGGCAATGGCGGCCTTGTTGTCGATGTACAACAATGGAGGAGAACGAGGCCGCTCTCCCAGGTCAGTCAGCAGGTAAGTGAGCCAGCGTAACTCCTGTGCAGCCATGGCTGTGGCGTAGATCTCAGCCTCGCAACTGGAGCTGAGAATAGAAGACGAGCGAGTAGAACGCCAAGAAACAGAACCAGAGCCAAGGCTGAAAGTGTAACCCTGTGACGACCGCTGTGTAGCCTGGTCGTCAACCCAAGAAGCGTCCGAGTGCCCAGTGAGAACCACGTCTCTCCGCCCTCCAAGCACGAGCCCCATGCCCGATGTACTGCACAAGTAGCGCAGTACCCTCTTCGCAACATCCCAGTGCACCTTTCGGTGTCGACCAGGAGCCACGTAGCGGGCCAGAAGGCCAAGAGGGTACGCAAGGTCAGGACGAGTGCAGGTCATCAGGTACATGAGGCACCCCACTAACTCTGGGTAAGGACCACTTGGCTCTACGGACTCGTCCGAAGGTGGAGCTGAGAGCGAGTGACCTGTAGCCAGAGGAGTGGACTGTGGCGAGGACCAGGTGAAGCCGAAGTGCTGAAGGACCTGCTGCACCATGTGTGACTAAGTCAGGGTGATGGTGCGGCGTGCTCTGTCCCGGGTGATCTGCAAGCCAAGATAGCTGCGCAGCTCACCCAGGTCTGTGCACGTGTGTCTCTTCTGCAGCTCCGACTTTACCAGGGCGAGAGCCTTGTTAAACTGTATTATGCTTGTAGGCTGTAGTGGGGTAGCCAATATGGGGTACAACCCCAACTAGGGTTTCATATTTGTACCCAAACTTCTGCTAGTTCAAAGATTCTTGCCTAGTTCTTCTGACATGGTATTCAGAGCAGGAGGTCCCTAGGACCTACCGACCGTTTTTTAAGGGCCCACCACCGCTCGCATGCGGTTACCACGCTACCCCGTGCCCTAGCCTCGTAGCGCCCTCGTGCGCCCTCGTTAGCGCCCTCGCGCGCACCCTCGTTAGCGCCCTCGCGCGCCCCTTCGTTAGCGCCCTCGCGCGCCCCTTCGTTAGCGCCCTCGCGCGCCCCTTGCTAGCGCCCTCGCGCGCCCCTCACTAGCGCCCTCGCGCGCCCCTCGCCGAGCCGCCCGCTCGCAGCCCGCTCGCCCGCTCGCTGCCCGCTTCGCGGCCCGCTCGCTACGCAGCCCGCCCGCCCGCTCGCTGCCCGCTTCGCGGCCCGCCCGCTTCGCAGCCCGCTCGCTCGCTGCCCGCTTCGCGGCCCGCCCGCTTCGCAGCCCGCTCGCTCGCTGCCCGCTTCGCGGCCCGCCCACTTCGCAGCCCGCCCGCCCGCTCGCTGCCCGCTTCGCGGCCCGCCCGCCTCGCAGCCCGCTCGCCCCGCTGCCCGCTTCGCGGCCCGCCCACTTCGCAGCCCGCCCGCCCGCTAGCTGCCCACTTCGCGGCCCGCCCGCATCGCAGCCCGCTCGCCCCGCTGCCCGCTTCGCAGCCCGCCCGCCCGCCCGCTGCCCGCTTCGCGGCCCGCCCGCCTCGCAGCGTCGCCCGCCCGCCGTGCTGCCCGCTTGCAGCGCCGCCTGCCCGCCGCGCTGCCCGCTTCCCGGCCCGTCCGCCGCGCTGCCCGCTCGCAGCGTCGCCCTCCCGTCGCGCTGACCGCTTGCAGCGCCGCCTGCCCGTAGCGCCAGCCTCGCCCGCTGCTCTCTATCCGTGCACAGTCGCCTTCCCCTGCTGCGGCAGCTTGCGTTACTCTGTCACACTGTCGCTATGGCTTCCATCCGCGTACTGTCGTTCGATGCTGAGGGCCGCCCTGTGCGGTTCACCGCTTGGCTAGATGACCTGCAGCTGTTTCTCCTGAGCGATAGCAAGGAGCATGTGTCGCTCTATGATTACGCGTCTGGTGCTGCGCCTGCCCCTCCTGCCACAGCTGAGCTTAGTGTTCGTTCCCACTGGCAGACTCGTGACGCAGCTGCTCGCCTAGCCATTCGCAGTCACCTGCCGTTAGCTGAGCTAGAGCATTTTGGCGACTGCAAATCCGCTAAGGCCCTGTACGACGCTGTCGTCGCTCGCTACTCCTCGCCTGCCACAGCCGAGCTTAGCCGCCTCATGCTGCCGTACCTGTTCCCCGATCTGTCCACCTTTACTACAGTCGCCGATCTTATCACCCACCTTCGCACTAGTGATGCTCGCCTGCGTGCCGCCCTTCCCACCGAGTTCTGCGCTAAGAACCCCCCTCCACTGTACTGGACACTCCACTTCATAGTCACCCGTCTCCCTGACACCCTCCGCTCAGTTCGAGACCACTTCCTTGCTCGCTGTCCCACTGAGCTCACAGTCACCCTCCTAGAGGAGCACCTGCTCGCGGCCGAAAAGAGCATTGTAGCTGTCGGTGCTGCTCGTGGCGCTCCTCGCACCCCCATCTTTGAGGGGTGTTCTCCCTCTCCCCTCGCTCCCTCCTACGCTGCTGCTGCTGCTGTTGACTTCCTTGGTGCTGAGTCTGTTGGCGCTGCTTCTACTCCTGGTGGGAGGCGCCGCACCGGCAAGGGCAAGGGGGGCAAAAGTGGTGGTGGTGGCGCTGGGGGGGGAGGAGGTGGGGGAGGTGGGGGGGGAGGCGGTGCTGGAGGGAGCGGTGGCGGGAGCGCTGGTGGGAGTGGGGTCGGTGGTGGAGACGGGGGCGGCGGAGGAAGCAGTGGCAGTAGTGGCGGCGGCGGCGGTGGCGGCGGTGGCGGTGGTGGCGGTGGTGGCGGTGGCGGTCGGAGCGGTGGTAGTGGTGGCGGCGGAGGTCGGAGTGGAGGCACTGGCTCGGGCCAGAGCTCCCAGCAGCAGCAGCGTCCCCAGACGACCCAGCAGCTTCGTGAGTGGCTTGCT